CATGACATGAGGTAGTACCTCACCCACATGACATGAGGTAGTACCTCACCCACATGACATGAGGTAGTACCTCACCCACATGACATGAGGGTGAGATAAGATAGTGATACTTTATCTATCAGGATGCAGAAGACTGTCTATCGTATCACTTGCATGGTAACTGTGACCGGGTAGACCAGGTGAGTGTCTGCTCCATCTCCTTGGATCAGACCTGCTTGCTTTTACCGCTCTAATAAACAATTGAGGCGAGTTAAAAGGCTGGTCTGTGATAGTAAGACTATCCTGTGTGATGGTCTATGATAGTCAGACTATCCAGTGATGGTCTATGATAGTCAGACTTTCCTGTGTGATGGTTTATGATAGTCAGACTATCCTGTGTGATGGTCTGATAGTAAGACTATCCTGTGTGATGGTCTATGATAGTAAGACTATCCTGTGTGATGGTTTATGATAGTAAGACTATCCTGTGTGATGGTCTGATAGTAAGACTATCCTGTGTGATGGTCTATGATAGTAAGACTATCCTGTGTGATGGTCTATGATAGTAAGACTATCCTGTGTGATGGTCTATGATAGTAAGACTATCCTGTGTGATGGTCTATGATAATCAGACTATCCTGTGTGATGGTCTATGATAGTCAGACTATCCTGTGTGATGGTCTATGATAGTCAGACTATCCTGTGTGATGGTCTATGATAGTCAGACTATCCTGTGTGATGGTCTATGATAGTCAGACTATCCTGTGTGATGGTCTATGATAGTCAGACTATCCTGTGTGATGGTTTATGATAGTAAGACAATCCTGTGTGATGGTCTATGTGTGTGTGTGTGTGTGTGTGTGTGTGTGTGTGGTGTGTGACTCAACAATCAATATTTGCACCAATAACTCATTACAGTTGTGACCGGGTGTGGAAGTGTGAATTGCTCATTACTCTATAATTTGTTCATGATTGTAGCCAAAGTATAAACGTAAGTAACCATTCTACAGAATTCATTACCTTTGTAACTTGTGAGCTCATTACCTTTGTACCTAGTTCAGCTATCAAAACTTTGGGGGCCCAGTCCCTGGACCCATTACGTACCTCTGTAATCTGTAAATACCTTTGTAACTTGTCATGATTGTGACCAGACTTACCTGGAGTTCATTACCTTTGTAAATTGTGAGTTCATTACCTTTGTAAATTGTGAGTTCATTACCTCTGTAACTTGCTCAGCTATCAAAACTTTGGAGTCCAGTCCCTGGACCAATTATGTACCTTTGTAATCTTTTGACTACCGCCCACAGGATGGGTATGGGGTGGGATAGGATAGGATAGGATTTCGTTCGGATTTTTAACCCCGGAGGGTTAGCCACCCAGGATAACCCAAGAAAGTCAGTGCGTCATCGAGGACTGTCTAACTTATTTCCATTGGGGTCCTTAATCTTGTCCCCCAGGATGCGACCCACACCAGTCCACTAACACCCAGGTACCTATTTGCTGCTAGGTGAACAGGACAACAGGTGTAAGGAAACGTGTCGAAATGTTTCCACCCGCCGGGAATCGAACCCGGGCCCTCCGTGTGTGAAGCGGGAGCTTTAGCCACCAGGCCACCGTTAAACTAACTAAACTGGTCTATGATAGTAAGACTATCCTGTGTGATGGTCTATGATAGACTTTCCTGTGTGATGGTCTATGATAGTAAGACTATCCTGTGTGATGGTCTATGATAGTAAGACTATCCTGTGTGATGGTCTATGATAGACTATCCTGTGTGATGGTCTATGATAGACTATCCTGTGTGATGGTCTATGATAGACTATCCTGTGTGATGGTCTATGATAGTAAGACTATCCTGTGTGATGGTCTATGATAGTAAGACTATCCTGTGTGATGGTCTATGATAGACTATCCTGTGTGATGGTCTATGATAGTAAGACTATCCTGTGTGATGGTCTATGATAGACTATCCTGTGTGATGGTCTATGATAGTAAGACTATCCTGTGTGATGGTCTATGATAGACTATCCTGTGTGATGGTCTATGATAGTAAGACTATCCTGTGTGATGGTCTATGATAGTAAGACTATCCTGTGTGATGGTCTATGATAGTAAGACTATCCTGTGTGATGGTCTATGATAGACTTTCCTGTGTGATGGTCTATGATAGTAAGACTATCCTGTGTGATGGTCTATGATAGTAAGACTATCCTGTGTGATGGTCTATGATAGTCAGACTTTCCTGTGTGATGGTCTATGATAGTCAGACTATCCTGTGTGATGGTCTATGATAGTCAGACTATCCTGTGTGATGGTCTATGATAGTAAGACTATCCTGTGTGATGGTCTATGATAGTAAGACTATCCTGTGTGATGGTCTATGATAGTAAGACTATCCTGTGTGATGGTCTATGATAGTAAGACTATCCTGTGTGATGGTCTCTGATAGTCATACTTTCCTGTGTTACTTGAAAAAATAACTAAACTATCTCCAAAAATACATTATTAAAATCAAATAGAGGTATATATACATAAATTATTAATTATTATACACAATAATAACTCACTAGAAATAAATTTTTTACACTTTTATTGAAAAAAAAAATGAATAATGAATGCGCGAAATGAGATTTGTAAACAAGGAAGAAAGTGTCAGTGTGTTTCTCTTATATTTGGCTGTATTTTTGTATTTTCTGTATGAATTCTGCTTCTGTGTGTATTAACGTGTATTTGAGTCGTTGGTGTATTGTATTCTGGTGTATTTTTCGTGTATTGGTGTTTGTATTTTGGGTTTTTTAAGGATTTTTTTTTCGGGGGTTCCCCAGGGTGAGTTTATGGGTTTTAATGTGTGTGGAGGTTAAGGTACAGCTCCTGGCCCCGGGTCAGTTTTGTGTCCAGGATGTGACCCTACACGAGTCTACTAACACCCAGGATGTGACCCACACCAGTCCACTAACACCCAGGATGTGACTCACACCAGTCCACTAACACCCAGGATGTGACCCACACCAGTCCACTAACACCCAGGATGTGACCCACACCAGTCCACTAACACCCAGGATGTGACCCACACCAGTCCACTAACACCCAGGATGTGACCCACACCAGTCCACTAACACCCAGGAGGTGACCCACACCAGTCCACTAACACCCAGGATGTGACCCACACCAGTCCACTAACACCCAGGATGTGACCCACACCAGTCCACTAACACCCAGGATGTGACCCACACCAGTCCACTAACACCCAGGATGTGAACCACACCAGTCCACTAACACCCAGGATGTGACCCACACCAGTCCACTAACACCCAGGATGTGACCCACACCAGTCCACTAAAACCCAGGATGTGACCCACACCAGTCCACTAACACCCAGGATGTGACCCACACCAGTCCACTAACACCCAGGATGCCACCCACACCAGTCCACTAACACCCAGGATGTGACCCACACCAGTCCACTAACACCCAGGATGTGACCTGCACCAGTCCACTAACACCCAGGATGTGACCCACACCAGTCCACTAACACCCAGGATGTGACCCACACCAGTCCACTAACACCCAGGATGTGACCCACACCAGTCCACTAACACCCAGGATGTGACCCACACCAGTCCACTAACACCCAGGATGTGACCCACACCAGTCTACTAACACCCAGGATGTGACCCACACCAGTCCACTAACACCCAGGATGTGACCCACACCAGTCCACTAACACCCAGGATGTGACCCACCAGTCCACTAACACCCAGGATGTGACCCACACCAGTCCACTAACACCCAGGATGTGACCCACACCAGTCCACTAACACCCAGGATGTGACCCACACCAGTCCACTAACACCCAGGATGTGACCCACACCAGTCCACTAACACCCAGGATGTGACCCACACCAGTCCACTAACACCCAGGATGTGACCCACACCAGTCCACTAACACCCAGGATGCCACCCACACCAGTCCACTAACACCCAGGATGTGACCCACACCAGTCCACTAACACCCAGGATGTGACCCACACCAGTCCACTAACACCCAGGATGTGACTCACACTAGTCCACTAACACCCAGGATGTGACCCACACCAGTCCACTAACACCCAGGAAGTGACCCACACCAGTCCACTAACACCCAGGATGTGACCCACACCAGTCCACTAACACCCAGGATGTGACCCACACCAGTCCACTAACACCCAGGATGTGACCCACACCAGTCCACTAACACCCAGGATGTGACCCACACCAATCCACTAACACCCAGGATGTGACCCACACCAGTCCACTAACACCCAGGATGTGACCCACACCAGTCCACTAACACCCAGGATGTGACCCACACCAGTCCACTAACACCCAGGATGTGACCCACACCAGTCCACTAACATCCAGGATGTGACCCACACCAGTCCACTAACACCCAGGTTTGAACCTACACCAGTCCACTAACACCCAGGATGTGACCTACACCAGTCCACTAACACCCAGGATGTGACCCACACCAGTCCACTAACACCCAGGATGTGACCCACACCAGTCCACTAACACCCAGGATGTGACCCACACCAGTCCACTAACACCCAGGATGTGACCCACACCAGTCCACTAACACCCAGGTACCTATTTTCTTGCTAGATGAACAGAACAACCGGTGTAAAGAAACACACTCAATGGTTCTACCCTCACCGTGAATCGAACCCGTTCCCTCACTGTGTGAAGTGAGAGCTCTAGCCACCAGGCTACGGGTTACTTGTGTATTGTCAACAGTCATGGTACAGTGGAACCTCAAATATCGAACTTTCTTCGGTCCAGAAGGCTGTTCGAGTGCCTTTACCGAATGAATTTATTCCCATCAGGAATAATGTAAATTAGATTAGTGCATTTCAGACCCTCAAAAATACACTTATAAAAGCACTTGCAAAAATATAATTGGTCGTGTTGGGAGCAGTTCGATTTTTGAGGTTCCACTGTATTGTCTTTTTCACTTTTTAAAGCATTTATTTTTACCACAGGCTGAGGAACAATGGTACAAGCGTGGTACATGGACGACAGCCCCGAGGACCAGAGACTGGAGCACCACCAGTCGCCCCCGAAATTCGTCTCTCTGGATGAACTGTACAGTGAGACGGGAGTAATGTACTGGAAGGTAATAAAAAATAAATTAGGAATTGTTTTTAACCTTCGGTACAGCAAAACCTCGACTTTTATGCAAATTCAAATTCAGATATTTATTTCCTCGTGTGGTTTACACGTTATAAGATTTTAATGACGAAGGCGGCCACTATCGTGCCTATATTGATATACTCACGATAGTGCCTATATCGATACGCTGTATCGATATAGGTTATATTTTATATAAGTTATATTAGGTACATACATAATTAGGTTTAAAGTACAGTGGACCCCCGCTTAACGATCACCTCCCACTGCGACCAATTATGTAAGTGTATTTATGTAAGTGCGTTTGTACGTGTATGTTTGGGGGTCTGACATGGACTAATCTAATTCACAATATTCCTTATGGGAACATTCAGTCAGTACTGGCACCTGAACATACTTCTGGAATGAAATAATATTGTTAACCGGGGGTCCACTGTAGTTAAGTAGTGCAAATCATTTAATATTACGAATGGTAGACATAGTAATGCGATTCCATTTGTCCTGGTATAGAGTAAAATTTATTGTCCATGGGATCCTTTTCTTTGTATGTTGCCTAATTTGCATCTTCATAAATAACTCATTTCGATTGTGACGATGTATAAATATGTAAATAGTTAATTACCATTGTAACTTGTTCAGCTATCAAAACTTTGTGACCCAGTTCCTGGACCCATTAAGTACCTTTGTAATGTTGAGGTACAGTTCCTGGACCCATTAAGTACCTTTGTAATGTTGAGGTACAGTCCCTGGACCCATTAAGTACCTTTGTAATGTTGAGATACAGTCCCTGGACCCATTAAGTACCTTTGTAATGTTGAGGTACAGTCCCTGAACCCATTAAGTACCTTTGTAATGTTGAGATACAGTCCCTGGACCCATTGAGTACCTTTGTAATGTTGAGATACAGTCCCTGGACCCATTAAGTACCTTTGTAATGTTGAGGTACAGTCCCTGAACCCATTAAGTACCTTTGTAATGTTGAGATACAGTCCCTGGACCCATCAAGTACCTTTGTAATGTTGAGGTACAGTCCCTGAACCCATTAAGTACCTTTGTAATGTTGAGATACAGTCCCTGGACCATTGAGTACCTTTGTAATGTTGAGGTACAGTCCCTGAACCCATTAAGTACCTTTGTAATGTTGAGATACAGTCCCTGGACCCATTAAGTACCTTTGTAATGTTGAGGTACAGTCCCTGAACCCATTAAGTACCTTTGTAATGTTGAGATACAGTCCCTGGACCCATTGAGTACCTGTGTAATGTTGAGATACAGTCCCTGGACCCATTGAGTACCTGTGTAATGTTGAGGTACAGTCCCTGGACCCATTAAGTACCTTTGTAATGTTGAGATACAGTCCCTGGACCCATTGAGTACCTGTGTAATGTTGAGGTACAGTCCCTGGACCTATTATATGTGTGTGTAATCTTGACTAATGCCACAGGATAGTTATTTATTTATTTTATTTAATATCTTTGCAAACAGTACATTAAGATTGTGTATATACAATATATACAATATATACAATAGTGGGTTACAATACAAAGAGAGCCTCTATTATGCCTTGGCATTATGGCCGCCAACTTAACATTATTGACTTATATTATACTTAACACTAAGGAGTATATCATAGTTGTACAGTAGGATAGTAATTATTTCATAGTTGTACAGTAGATTATTAATTATAAATGAATTAATATTTGTATAATACAAAGATATATTTATATTTTAAAATGCTTTTGTGAAAAACAATGATTCAATTATATTCGTGTCAACAATGGATAAAAGGTTCAATGTGATTGTTGAAGTTATGATGTGGGAGGACATAGGTGAGTAAATGTGTACTGAGTGTTTAGCATTTAGTTTAGGGTGATTAAGTGGCTTTTGAGAAGAGTCTTAAATTGATTTTCAGACTGGGTTACTTTAATATCTTCTGGTAATGAATTCCATATTTTGGGACCCTTTATGTGCATAGAGTTTTTACACAGTGTGATATGGACACAAGGTATATCAAAAAGAGATCTGTGTCTTGTGTTGTGGTCATGTGTCCTGTTTAAGTTGGTGAGGAGAAGTTTGAGTGGAGGGTTTATATTTGTGTGTATTGTTCTGTGTATGCAGTAGGCACATGAATAAGTATGGATGTTCTTAATGGTAAGCAGATTCAGGCTTTTGAAAATTGGTGGAGTATGCTGGCAGGAGTGGGAATTTGTTATCATTCTTACTGCTGCCTTTTGCTGGGTTATTAGGGGTTTTAGGTGATTGGATGTTGTTGATCCCCATGCACAAATTCCATATGTAAGATAAGGGTATATGAGTGAATGGTACAGTGCCAGGAGAGCTGATTGTGGAATGTAGTACCTTATCTTTGATAGTATGCCTACAGTCTTGGAGATTTTCTTGGTAATTTGTTGTATGTGTGTCCGGAACTTAAGGCTACTGTCAAGGTGGATACCTAGGAATTTTCCCTCTGTGAGTCTTGTGACTGATGATCCACTTAGTATAATGTTAATTGGATCATTTGCAGCTTTGTTTCCAAACTGAATGAAATAGGTTTTTATCAGTGTTCAGGGTTCATGGGGGTGCATAATAAAGATACTAATCATGAAACATAGTACGGTACCATAGATTATATTTTTTAACACACCGGCTGCCTCCCACCAAGGTAGGGCAACCTGAGAAAGAAATATCTTCACCATCTGTCACTCCATTAACATCTTGCCAGAGACACCCCAACATTACACCTCAGCTTCTCCTCCCACTGCAATATCTCCATGCATCCTTCAGAGTATAGGTACTGTACTTTCCACCTCCAGGACTGTAACATTCTCACCCATCCTTCAGAGTACAGGCACTGTACTTCCCACCTCCAGTACTGTAACATCCTCACTCATCCTTCAGAGTACAGGTACTGTACAGTGGACCCCCAGTTTACGATCAGCTCCCAATGCGGCCAATTATGTAAGTGTATTTATGTAAGTGCGTTTGTATGTGTATGTTTGGGGGTCTGAAATGGACTAATCTAATTCACAATATTCCTTATGGGAACAAATTCGGTCAGTACTGGCACCTGAACATACTTCTGGAATGAAATAATATTGGAAACTGGGGGTCCACTGTACTTTCCACCTCCAGAACTGTAACATCCTCACCCATCCTTCAGAGTACAGGCACTGTACTTCCCACCTCCAGAGCTGTAACATTCTCACTCATCCTTCAGAGTACAGGTACTGTACTTCCCACCGGAACTGTAACATCCTCACCATCCTTCAGAGTACAGTCACTGTACTTCCCACCTCCAGGACTGTAACATTCACACTCATTCTTCAGAGTACAGGTACTGTACTTACCACCTCCAGGACTGTAACATTCTCACTCATCCTTCAGAGTACAGTCACTGTACTTCCCACCTCCAGGACTGTAACATTCACACTCATTCTTCAGAGTACAGGTACTGTACTTACCACCTCCAGGACTGTAACATTCTCACTCATCCTTCAGAGTACAGGCACTGTACTTCCCACCTCCAGAACTGTAACATTCTCACTCATCCTTCAGAGTACAGGCACTGTACTTTCCACCTCCAGAACTGTAACATCCTCACCCATCCTTCAGAGTACAGGCACTGTACTTCCCACCTCCAGAACTGTAACATCCTCACCCATCCTTCAGAGTACAGGTACTGTACTTCCCACCTCCAGGAGTGTAACATCCTCACCCATCCTTCAGAGTATAGGCACTGTACTTTCCACCTCCAGAACTGTAACATCCTCACCCAGTGTTCAGAGTACACGTACTGTACTTCCTACCTCCAGAACTGTAACATCCTCACCCAGTGTTCAGAGTACACGTACTGTACTTCCCACCTCCAGGAGTGTAACATTCTCACTCATCCTTCAGAGTACAGGCACTGTACTTCCCACCTCCAGAACTGTAACATTCTCACCCATCCTTCAGAGTGCAGACACTGCACTTTCCACCTCCAGAACTGTAACATCCTCACCCAGTGTTCAGAGTACACATACTGTACTTCCCACCTCCAGGAGTGTAACATCCTCACCCATCCTTCAGAGTACAGGCACTGTACTTTCCACCTCCAGAACTGTAACATCCTCACCCAGTGTTCAGAGTACACGTACTGTACTTCCCACCTCCAGGAGTGTAACATTCTCACTCATCCTTCAGAGTACAGGCACTGTACTTCCCACCTCCAGAACTGTAACATTCTCACCCATCCTTCAGAGTACAGGCACTGTATTCCCACCTCCATAACTGTAACATCCTCACCCATCCTTCAGAATACAGGCACTGTACTTCCCACCTCCAGAACTTTAACCCTTTCAGGGTTTCCGACGTGCTAGTACGGCTTACGCACCAGGGTTATTGACATACTAGAACGCCTAAATTCTAGCGCCTTCAAATCTAGTGAGAGAAAGCTGGTAGGCCTACATATGAAAGAATGGGTCTGTGTAGTCAGTGTGTACAGTATAAAAAAATCCTGCAGCACACAGTGCATAATGAGAAAAAAACCTCTGATCGTGTTTTTGGTTTAAAACAGCGACTTTGCAGTGTATTTTCGTATGGTATTTATGATTGTATTCTAGTTTTCCTGGTCTTGCTTTATAGAATGGAAGACTTATTACAGAAATTTAGATGATTTTGTTTGGTTTCATAATGAAAAGTACCTTGAAATTGAGCTCAAAGTATCAGAAATGTTCGATTTTTACCAAATTTCAAAAGTAAACAAATCATGCTAAGCGTCCAATACTCGTCAACTGGTGAGTCTAATATTCTTTCACAAGTGCGCCGATATTATTTATACCATTTCTACACTAATACAATAGTCTGCATAACAGTAAATCTTCTGTTTTTTGTGAGAATAAAAATTCAAAGTGGAAAGCAAAAGAGATAAAAGAGGGGCCTGGGGACGTGACTAATGAACAGAGAAAATGTTATTTTAGTGCCAGGAATGTCTGTCTTGCTTATTCT